ACCCTGACCTATGGAAACAAGAGCAAAGCACACTCCCCATCAGTCACCTGTGCATGCCACCTTGTTTGCACACTCCCAGCAGAGTTTTGTTGCAGCCACCCGCATTCGATTTGGGAAACTCCACCTTGCTTTGGAGCGAACAGGGTTTAGGCATGCAGGCAGCTGTACCCTGCCAGCGAGCTGTCATTCAGTCATGCAGTGATGGAGTGGGGTGGCTGACCTGACCCGCTTCGCACGCCAGCACTGGATTGAGCTGAATGGTGCCACAGAAATGCCCATTTTTTCTCCCCACAGGCTGAAAAGGGGATTTGGATTTGTTTCAACCGCATTTTGCTTTCACAACCTCCATCTCCTCCTGCCACGTCTGTGCAGCATCCTTCCCTCCCATCGCTGTGCACACAGCATCCCTGGGGCCTCTTTGCCCCAAAAGCATTGCTAGAAGATGTCTCAGAGCCTCCAGGCTGAGGCTGCTCAGCTTTACTACAAAAAAGCCATCACCCACAAAGAGCCTGATGCTCAAAAACATTTTGAAGGCTGCAGATTTTCGAGCTTGGCTCATCAGGAAAAAATGCCCATCCATCACGTGCGGCACTGCCGCTGCTGCGAGCAGGGAGAGGGGGAGGGAGGTAGCAAGCAGAGCCTGCAGCTGTGTGCCAGCCCTGTGAGCTGCCCTCCTCCCTTCACTCCAACTCCTTGTCCCTGTCCTCCGAGGTGAGCAGAGCTGCCCTTCAGCTGCACACAAAGCCCCCAGCAATGGCAAGTGAGGATGGCTGATTTCCCCCTGCAAACGTGGGATGCTAGGGATTTGCTAGGGGAAAATTAAAGCATAAACGCCTGAGGGACATAAGGTACGGCCACCAGCTTGCAGATCTCATATGCAGCCCCATAAATCACAGCTCCTAGCAGCCTTCCAGGGCAACGCGCTCTTTCTGTGCTCTGGGTTTGCTGCACAGAGGGACACAAATCTCCTTGGCTCCAGGCACAGCTTCGATGTAAATACATGCAAGCAGCAACGCCTGCAGAACGGCGATTCCCTCTGGCCAGGGCCGTTAAACAACACCTTTGCGGGAGGAAATGTGCAAAGGCGTGCGGTTGGGCTCAGCAGGGCCGTGCTTCTAGGAATTGTTTGTGATACCTGCACCCCTCCGAGCTGAGCTGAGAGCTGGAGCGGGGCGCTTGGCAGCTCGCCGTCCCCTCCCTGCCCCAGCAGCGAGCACAAACAGCCCCGCAGCCCGCATTCCTCTCCGGCAGGGCATCCAAATGTCCTTTCTCATGACCTTTCCATGACTGCAGCATCGCGGGAGCACCCACGTCCCCATCCTCAGCCCTTCGGGTCGCTGGCCATGCAGTGATCTCCCAGCTAAGCGCCCCTCCGGCATGGAGGGGTACCTCATAGAACGGTTTGAGTTGGAAGGGACCTTTAAAGACCATCTGTCCCACTCCGTGCACTGAGCAGGGACACCCACAGCTCCACCAGTGCTCACAGCCCATCCAGCCTGACCTTGGCTGTCTGCAGGGACGGGGCACCACCGCCTCTCTGTGCAACCTGTGTCAGCACTTCAATGAACTCGTTTCCCAGCCCCAGTCATCCCACAGCACCCAACAACCGAGCCACATCTCCATCCCACAATGCAGAATAAAGGCACCTGCAATCTCCCCGCAGAAGCGAGATGCTCACCTAAGAAAAACCCAACAGCAACCCTCAGCAGACAGCCCGGGGAAGCCAAACCCCCAAAACCATCACGGCGGAACCTGAAGCGGTTCTCCTCCCTCTCCTTTCGCCCCACGTTCGCCACGAAGCCCGCTGTCCCCGCACTCACCGCACCGCACCGCACCGCACCGCCGTGTCCCGCGGCCGCCGCCTCCGGGCACCGCGCGCATGCGCACAGCCCCGCCCCGAGCTGTCCTCGCCGGCCGGGAAGTGCGGCGGAACGCGACGCAGGGACGGACGCGAGTTATGTGACTGTGCTCCTGTGGGTGCCGCTTCGAGGGTATCGCTTTGTTTGCTTGCCCCGTGACGTGTCAGCTGTGCTCCCGGCTGCACTGAGCTGAATGTTTGGGGTACTTTACACCCTGAAATGAATCACCCGCTTCCCTCCCTAGTGGACAAACCCCAGGCGTGGTTCTGTTTGCTCTGGAGATTGCTCCCAGCAGGTTCCGACTCAGCTGGGCCAGGTTGAATTCACCCTGTCCGGTCCCCATCCTCAAACAGGTGTCTGCAAGGGGGTAAAATGGATGGGAACCTCTGATTTTGGGGGTGGGAGATGCTGTTCACCAAAATGGTTTGAGTTGGAAGGGACCCTTCAAAGCCATCTGTCCCAGCGAGCAGGGACACCCACAGCTCCATCAGTGCTCATCCAGCCCGACCTTGGCTGTCTGCAGGGATGGGGCACCACCGCCTCTCTGTGCAACCTTTGCCAGTTCATCACCACCCTTATTGCAAACAACTTCTTCCTTATATCCAGTCTCAATCTTGCCCTTTTCGTTTGAAACCGTTCCCCCTTTTTCCGTCACAGCAGACCCTGCTGAAGAGTCTGTCCCCTTCTTTCTTACACCCCTCCTTTACATACTGACAGGCTGCTCTCAGGTCTCCCTGCAGCCTTCCCTTCTCCAGGCTGCACAGCCCCAGCTCTCTCAGCCTGTGCTCATAGGAGAGCTGTTCCATTTTCGGGGCCCCTCTCTGGATGCTCTCCAACAGGTCCACATCTCTCCTGTACTGAGGACTCCCCATCTGGATGTTCGGTCACCAACCAGCCAGAGGGAAGCACTGAACACAGTGGATTTTACCACCTTCCGCAGTTTCTATCACCAGGGACCACAGTGCACAACTTTGGACTCAGGGCTTTTCTGCCTCGTGGAGGCAAGCATACACCGTCATATGCATACACAGTCAGATGAGAATTACTAATGTGCTTTCCTCACATTGCCACACATGCAACTTCCCAAGCCAGGCAGCCACTTCTCTAAGCAAGGACTGAGTGTACAAACAGGAGGGGGAACAGCTGTTTACAAGGGTGGATAGCGATAGGACAAGGGGGGATGGTTTGAAACTGAGGCAGGGGAGGTTTAGGTTGGATATGAGGAGGAAGGTTTTCCCCCAGAGGGTGGTGAGGCACTGGAACAGGTTGCCCAAGGAGGCTGTGGATGCCCCATCCCTGCAGGCATTCAAGGCCAGGCTGGATGTGGCTCTGGGCAGCCTGGGCTGCTGGTTGGTGACCTGCACACAGCAGGGGGTTGGAACTGGATGAGCACTGTGGGCCTTTGCAACCCAGGCCATTCTGTGATTCTATGCTTGGGTCTTGTGGCTGAGGGCTGGGGTCACTCTCAATAAGTGGGATCCCATCCCTGGTGGGTGCAGAACAACAGTGCTTGGTGTGCAGATGGGTGATTTCCAGGCTTGTAGCAGGGAAGAAAATGAGGAATAAAAGGATCCAGCTGTCACTACCTTTAGTAACAACCAGAACTCATGATAACAGATGAGCAGACAGAAATAGCAACGTGAAAGCTCCGGGGATCTATATTTGGGCTATTCTGACCTCCCTGGAAATGCAGTATTTATTATTCATTGCTCTACTTTGCTTTTGCACAACAGGAGAAGGGAGCAATTCAGCCGCAGCATCCTGGAGGCATCGGGGGAGCCGAGCATTGAATTCAGGACACCAGGAAGACTTCATCAGCTGTGTAAACACAGAGCTGCACCCACTTGCACACACCAGGCTTTCTGCTCTGGGAAGCAGAAGGTGGCTACGAAGCATTCCAACATACTGAAGGTCAGAGCCTTAACTTTTTACTTCCTTGCCGTGCTCTCCTGGTGAGACACAAGCAGCTCTCAGTGCACTGAAGTAAAGAAATCTCATTAAGATGCACTGATAGTTGTTTTCTGTGGTTTGCTTCCCAGGCATAAACAAAAAAGAAAAGGAAAAAAAAAAAGCCAGCTTAAAGATTTACAGAGCGCGTGGGAATAATAAATACTTGAAGAAAATGAGATCAGAACTACCTGAGATGATGCAGATTGGAGTGGGTGACATTCCCTAGGGGGGATGGTTTTAAAGTGAGACAGGGGAGATTTAGGTTGGATATGAGGAGGAAGTTTTTCCCCCAGAGGGTGGTGAGGCACTGGAACAGGTTGCCCAAGGAGGCTGTGGATGCCCCATCCCTGCAGGCATTCAAGGCCAGGCTGGATGTGGCTCTGGGCAGCCTGGGCTGCTGGTTGGTGACCTGCACACAGCAGGGGTTTGAACTGGATGAGCACTGTGGGCCTTTTCAACCCAGGCCATTCTAGGATTCTGTGATTCCTCCACCTATGGCATGTGAATAGGGTTAGGATAAGGGTTCCTCCCGTGCTGGATTGTGTCTCCCATATTTGGTCCAGTGTGATGAGACTCAGAATGATCCTCCACTTGCAAGCACCAAACCCATGATTGGAGTTCAGCTCTGACTGCTGCTTCACTCCAGTGAATTCGGGGTTCTCTGTCTGGAGGTTTGGAGCTGTGGTTTGGAACCTCCCCCCTCCAGGGACAGCAGCTTGAAAATTGACTTCTGGCTTGAGAATCAGTTTTGAAAGAAAACAAGGGGAAAACACCGAGTCTTAGAGGGACCATAGGGTTCCCATACAGGGATCTTGGAATCCCTGAGCACATGAGATGTCACAAAAATGCCTGCCTGGATATTATTTCTACACCCACCCGTGATTTTTCTGGGCTTTCATTCATTTCCCTGTGAGCTCTGCAGCCCTTGCTCTGCATGCATTGAGGTGTCTGATTCCGGTTTATTGTTATCCATTGCAAATCTGGAGTTTCTGGATCTACGACAGGGAGAGCTGCCTCTGCTGCAGCCTCCATCCCCTGGCCTTCCCTGCCCGTTTTAATGAATTATTCACACGGCGGTGGCTGGGCTGAGGCAGTTGCTATAGGGCAGGCTCATGAATAACAACAGGCGGATATTTTTAGCCCTAACTCTTATTACCGTGCTGCCCTTTGTTCGCAGTTAGCTCTGTGTTTTCAGCAGGAGGAACCCTGCAACACTGCTTAGGGCTGGGACTCCCTTTGGACTGACACATTACCACTTCCTTCCCAGTTTATGGGATGGCCATCTGCATTCTCCTCGCTAAGATCTGGTGAGTGGGGCTGGGGGCTTTTTGTCACTCCTCTCTGCTGTCCCCACTCTGTCACCTGCAATGAAATTCATAACATCACAGAATGGCCTGAATGGTTTGCAAAGGCCCACAGTGCTCATCCGGTTCCAACCCCCTGCTGCGTGCAGGGTCGCCAACCAGCAGCCCAGGCTGCCCAGAGCCACATCCAGCCTGGAAACAAGGTGAAAGAATCTAGCAGAAGCAGGATGCGCCTCTAGGAGGATTGGTCCTAAAGCAGCCACATCAGTTAATAACGGGATTTCCGATCACTTTAGGGGGATCTGGTGCAGATACACTGAAGGAGAAGGGGAAAAAGGGCAGCGATTGCTTCCTGCAGCTCAGAGCTGCTCCCTCTGCCGAGCCTTTGGCATGGCTGAATATTTACAAATGGTTTTAGCTCAGATGCCATCAGGTGACGCAGCCCTGCTCGGGTGCCTGCTGGGACTCACAGTTTGTTCAGCATTCTCGTTATTGTTCTACTTCTAGCCATACTTTGGATAGTTATTAAGGGTCATAGATATCCTTAATGCCCAGGTTGCCCAAGGAGGCTGTGGATGCCCCATCCCTGCAGGCATTCAAGGCCAGGCTGGATGTGGCTCTGGGCAGCCTGGGCTGCTGGTTGGTGACCTGCACTCAGCAGGGGTTGGAACTGGATGAGCGCTGTGGGCCTTTGCAACCCAGGCCGTGCTGTGATTCTATGATCCGCTTTGCTACCGCAGCTACAAGGGAAAACAGTCACCGGTCATTGTGCTTTGGGGCAGCAACAACCTAGAACCTGGGTCTATCCCCACATCCAATGGTGAGATGAAATTAAAAATGAATGCACTAATGAATATTCTCAATCCCGCCTCTGACGCCCACAGCTGACGGGAGCTCTGATTCCAGATCCCCGCCCCCAGCCCTTGCGGGGAGCGCTGCCCTCCGCGCCACCCCTCCGCCTCCTCCGCGCTGATTGGCTGCCGCTGCTGCTCGTCAAGTCCCGCGACTTCCCCTTTGCTTCCCATTGGCCGACTCCCGGCGGCGCCGCCCAATGAGGAGCGGAACTCCACCCCCGCGGTGGCGGGAAAACGCTCGGTTTTGGCGCCAAAGGAGGTGTGTGGAGCCCGTTTTGATCGGGGCCGGCGTTTGGGGTCGCCGCCGGGGGTCTCTTAGGATCCATTCGGGATCCCGGTTCCCGCCTGTTTGCTACCGCCTCCTGGCACCATGGCAGCCCCGGAGGGCGGGTTGGACGACGCGGAGCTGCGAGAAGCTCAGCGGGATTACCTGGATTTCCTGGACGATGAGGTGAGGAGCGGGGCGTTCTGCGGGCTGCGTCCTGCCCTAGTTAACACCCAGTGCCGGGTATGGCTTCACCACCGAAGCCCCAGCCGGAGCCCGTGGTTCTGGGATTGCTTTTTCCCCAGGGAGGAAATGGCTGTGTGAAACTGAGGGTTGTGTTGTCACTGTGCAGGAAGATCAAGGGGTTTATCACGGCAAAGTACGCGACATGATCAGCGACAACCAGAACCGCCTGCTGGTCAACATCAACGACCTGCGGAGGAGGAACGAGAAGAGAGCCAGCCGGTGAGTGGAACCGGGGGGTGGCAGGGCAGCTGGGGGTCGCTGTGCCATCCAGCCCTTCCATGCTTGCAATTGGCAAAACCTGGGTGTTGGAGTCCTTAGAGGGAGCTGCGGTTGTTTGCATGGTGTGAGGCGGCTCAGCTTTTAGGGTTCTGGGGTCTTTTTGCACGATGAGAGGTGACAGCCTCAACACGGAGGTTTTTTGGGTTGGATTTTGGAAGAATGGTGATGCAGTGGCACAGCAGCCCAGGCAGGGTGGTGGGATCCACCCATGGAGGTGTTCCAGAACCATGGAGATGTGGCAGTGAGGGACACAGTGGGCATGGTGAGGTCGGCTGGGGTTGGACTGGGTGCTTGCAGAGGTACATCACAGAATGGTTGGGTTGGAAGGGACCTCAAGGATCACAAAGCTCCAACCTCCCACCACAGGCAGGGCCACCAACCTCCACATTTCATAGCAGCCCAGGCTGCCCAGGGCCCCATCCAACCTGGCCTTGAACACCTCCAGGGATGGACGGGGCATCCACAGCCTCTCTGGGCAGCTGTTCCAGCACCTCACCGCTCTCATAGCAAAGAACTTCCCCCTGACATCCAACATAAACCTTCCCTCCCTCAATTTCAAACCATTTCCTCTTGTCCTACTGCTATCTACCCTTTCCAAGACTTTATTTCCACCCTTAATTTCCTGTTGGTTTTCAGATATAATTGTGCTTGTTCACCATCTGGCTCTTGGTTTCTTTGAGCCGTGGGTTTCTTTTTCAGTAATACTCCCAATACTCTTTCAGAGTACATGGAAGCATTTGGAAGAGCTTTCTTAGAGCTGCCCATGGGGATGGCAGAAGGGGTTGCCAGCAAGGTGCAGCTCTCAACCATCACCTCTCTCTGTTGCAGGCTTTTGAACAACGCCTTTGAGGAGCTCATCGCCTTCCAACGTGCTCTGAAGGACTTTGTTGCCTCTGTTGATGCCACCTATGCCAAGCAGTATGAGGACTTCTATATTGGGCTGGAGGGCAGCTTTGGTTCCAAGCACGTCTCGCCACGGACGCTGACTGCCTGCTTCCTGAGCTGCATCGTTTGTGTGGAGGGCATCGTGACAAAGTGTGAGCCTGGGGGCAGGTTGGGGTGCTGGGCAGGGTGAGGAGCAGGGGGTCGGGGTGTTCTGTACAGCAGGAGTCCTCCAGGACCAATGGCAGGACAACTGAAATGAGGGTAACAGGGGACTTGTCAAAAGATTGGAATTTTGGGAACTCTGCAGACCTTGTATCACAGAATCATGGAATGGCCTGGGTTGCAAAGGCCCACAGTGCTCATCCAGTTCCAACCCCCTGCTGTGTGCAGGTCACCAACCAGCAGCCCAGGCTGCCCAGAGCCACATCCAGCCTGGCCTTGAATGCCTGCAGGAATGGGGCATCCACAGCCTCCTTGGGCAACCTGTTCCAGTGCCTCACCACCCTCTGGGGGAAAAACTTCCTCCTCATATCCAACCTAAACCTCCCCTGCCTCAGTTTCAAACCATTCCCCCTTGCCCCATCACCATCCACCCTCACAAACAGCCATATCTCCTCCTGTTTATAAGCTCCCTTCCAGTCCTGGAAGGCCAGAATGAGGTCTCCCCGGTGCCTTCTCTTGCCACTCTGGTTGCCAGCACTTGTGTCCTGCACAAGTAGTGGATATCTTTTTGGTGTTTCATGGTGACAAATAGGCAGGCCTTTTCTGCCCCTAACTCTGCTTTCTTCCAAACCCAGGCTCTCTGATTCGTCCTAAGGTTGTCCGGAGTGTCCATTATTGCCCAGCCACCAAGAAGACTATTGAGCGCCGATACACAGACTTGACATCCCTGGATGCTTTCCCTTCCAGTTCTGTCTACCCTACAAAGGTGAGGTGAAGCAGCCTCATACAGGGGATATCTGCAGGTTCCTCTGAGGAGAACGTGCTGGCTCACAGATCAGCCTGATCAGCTGGTGGTTGGCATGCTTGTATGTGGCAAGGGAATTGAAACTAGGTTGTTTTTAGGGTTTCTTCCAACCCAAACCATTCTAGCATCCCATGGGTGCTGCCCTGAAGGGTGCATGGACCCTTGTGTGCAGGGATTGCCCCGTGCTTGGGAATGGAGGAAGGCTGAACCTAAGCTGTGTCTGTGCTGCACATGCATTCTTCTGCACGGCCTGCCTGCGGTTTTTGGAGAGCTCTAATGTAGCAGTGCTGGGTGCTGACAGCACCCATGGGGAGCTGTATTGCTGATGAACCCCAGGATCTGGAAGTCCTGGTAAAGCAATCCTTTGCAGCACTCTTGTGTGTGCCGTGTGATGCTTTCTTCCCATTGCTGCTAATTTCTTTATTGCTTTGCCTTCCTCCTTAAGGATGAGGAGAATAACCCCCTGGAGACAGAGTTTGGCCTCTCAGTCTACAAAGACCATCAGACCATCTCCATCCAGGAGATGCCTGAGAAGGCACCAGCAGGGCAGCTGCCACGCTCAGTGGATGTCATTCTGGATGATGACCTGGTGGACAAAGTGAAGCCTGGAGATCGCATCCAGGTGGTCGGGACGTATCGCTGCCTGCCAGGAAAGAAAGGAGGTTACACGTCGGGGACATTCAGGTGAGCCTTCTGTTGGCTTGAAGGACGATGTCAGCCCTGCCACTCCTTTTTAGCAGGGTCCCATTCTGGAAGATGAGATGTAGGGCAGGCTGGATGGGGCTGTGAACAACCTGGTCTGGAGGGAGGGTCTGCCTATAGTAGGAGGTTGGGACTGGATGATCTTAAAGGTCCCTTCCAACCCAAAACGTCCCACGATTCTATGAATTCCTGCTGTTGTTACGGTGACCCTGAAGGTTCTGTAGGCTTCACAGACATGATCATGGCTGTCACTTTTCCAGGACTATCCTCATTGCCTGCCATATCAAGCAGATGAGCAAAGATGCTCGGCCTCTCTACTCTGCTACTGATGTGGCCAAGATCAAGAGGTTCAGCAGGAATCGCTCTAAGGTATTTGCATAGGTCTTATTTCTAAGCTCACCTTCCATGATTTTCCACTTGCTTCCTCTGCATTTTCTACATAGTTTTTGTCAATTTCTGTGATGTGTGTGTATATACATATATATATTTATTACACATATGTAGCTGTAGCAGAGTTTCTTGATGGCTCTGCTGTTGTGCACAGCTGTTGAAATGGAGCTCAGGCTGGGCTGTGTGTGCCTCAACTGCTCGCTGGTTGTCAGAGAAGCTCCTCTGCAAAATTCTACTTTTCCTCCTCAAACCTAAGAACAGAATTAGATGACAGCCTGGATTTCTGAAAGGAAATAAAGCAAAATGCTGGGGGAGGGGATGGGGGTCTGCCCCAGCCTGGTCCTGTGTTCAGATCTTTGTTCTTGTGGGCTTTGTTGCTTCCAGTGCTTGTGAGGTGGTGTAGGACTTCAGAGCTGCATTGAAAGAATATTCCAACTATCTTTTCCCATCTAAATAATCTTTATCAGTGTAGTTCTGTGATAGGAATAAGTTTCTTTTTTGATGCTGAAATGGGCTTGTGAAGAATTGCTCCTTGTTCTTCGGGCCACTCACAGGATATGTGCTTTGCTTCTTCTGCCTTAGGATATCTTTGACCAGCTGGCCAGATCCCTGGCACCCAGCATCCACGGGCACGAGTTCATCAAGAAGGCCCTTCTGTGCATGCTGCTTGGAGGGGTGGAGAAGGTCCTGGAGAACGGGAGCCGCATCCGAGGAGACATCAACATCTTGCTGATAGGTGGGATTTTGTCATCTCCAAGGACAGAGGCAGCTGAGGCTGGGCTGTGGGAGTGAGCTGAGGCTGTTCAAATGGAATTTCCACGTTGCCTCTTCTCCTGTCACCATACAAAACCCCGGCTCCATCTTCTTGCCATCAGGTTGATGGAGAACACGATCCAGTCCCCTTTTCTGAAAGCTGAACAAACCCAATTCTTAGTCACTTGTATTCATTTCCCTGCTGATGTGGTTTGCTAAATCTTCTCTCTTTCAGGAGACCCTTCTGTGGCCAAATCCCAGCTGCTGCGCTATGTGCTGAGCACTGCTCCCCGTGCCATTGGCACTACTGGCAGGGGCTCCTCTGGTGTTGGCTTGACTGCTGCTGTCACCACCGACCAAGAAACCGGTAAGGGATGTGCTGGTTGCCAGTGGGAGTTGGTGGAGGGACAGCAGTTAATCCCTGGGATGGACTCTGCAAGGTTCAGGACTGTTTGTCATAGAATCATAGAATGCCCTGGGTTGAAAAGGATCATCCAGTTCCAACCCCTGCTGTGTGCAGGTCACCAACCAGCAGCCCAGGCTGCCCAGAGCCACATCCAGCCTGGCCTTGAATGCCTGCAGGGATGGGGCATCCACAGCCTCCTTGGGCAACCTGTTGCAGTCCCACACCACCCTCTGGGGGAAAAACTGCCTCCCAAAGTGGGCATCCCTGAGACTGAGGGCGATGATCCTCCTCCCAGGGATGCTGCTGCAGTGGAAGGAGCCAGCAGGAGATTCTCAGAGCCGTTGAACATCAGTGACCTTCTTTTCTCCACCCTCCCATCTCAGGTGAACGGCGTCTGGAAGCGGGGGCCATGGTGTTGGCTGACAGGGGTGTGGTGTGCATCGATGAGTTTGACAAGATGTCTGACATCGACCGCACGGCCATCCACGAGGTGATGGAGCAGGGCCGTGTCACCATCGCCAAGGCCGGCATCCACGCTCGCCTCAACTCCCGCTGCAGCGTCCTGGCAGCTGCCAACCCCGTCTATGGCCGGGTGAGTGCTAGGGTTTGCTGCTCCCCTCTGTGTGGAGGCCTGCTAGGAGCTGTCCTTGGAAATGATAAAATCCAAAGAATCTCCTAGATTTGATTCTTAGTGGAACTGAGGTGCGGGAAGAACTTGGTTTGCTTGGCTACTGCTGCTGCTTGTGGTTATTGTGAAGGCTGTGTGTGTCCTGTCCAACGTGGCCTTGAACACTCCCAGGGATGGGGTGTAAAATAGCATTTACTCCTTCAGCAGGCTGTGCTTAGCATGGTGTCTTTTGGTGTTCAGCTGTCTGTGCATTTCCTTGAAGGCCTAGCTTGAAAGGTTCTTTCCACCTTCCCTAGCAACCAGCAGTGACCCATGAGAATCTCTTGTAATCCCTTTCTTCAACCTCTTGTAGTACGACCAATACAAGACGCCCATGGAGAACATTGGCCTGCAGGACTCCTTGCTCTCCCGTTTTGACCTGCTGTTCATCATGCTGGACCAGATGGACTCTGAGCAGGACAGGGAGATCTCGGATCACGTCCTGCGAATGCACCGCTACCGCAACCCCAATGAGCAGGATGGGGATGGTGAGTTCCTCTGGCTGTCTAGAAAGCCCAGGAGTTACAGGTTTTCTTTGGCTGTAGTTGCTTTCCTTTCCCTTGGAGCAAGAAGGGTAAAGCCCCTAGTCTGGACCTGAGGGCAGGGGGGGTTGAAACTAGATGATTGTTATGGTCCTTTCCAACCCAGGCCGTTCTATCATTCCCTTGTCCTCAGTGGGACCTTGAACACTGCTGAACTGTAAAGCATAGAGCATCCATCTCTCCTCTGTAGCTGGTGCCCATCTGTCCTGGGCAGCTGTGGTTGGGGTGATGGGGAAGTAGATAGGGGTGGGCTCCTTCCACTGTGACACAACTCCAGACTTCTCAGGTTGTCACTTGTTAGCGGCTCTTTGGGTTCAGTTGTCCATGGCTTTGCTGAGTGCTGCCAGTAGGTGGCTGTGAGAAGCTAAAATCCTGTTCTTGGCAACCTTCCCCTCTCCAGCCATGCCCCTGGGCAGCGCCGTGGAGATCCTGGCTACGGATGACCCTGATTTTGCACAGGAGGAGGAACAGGAGCTCCAAGTGTATGAGAAACACGATGAGCTCCTGCATGGGCCCAACCGCCGCAGGTGAGTCTCCTGTCCCTTGTGCCATGTAACTCTCTGGGGGTTTCCACGGTGATGAGCTGATGCTAAAATGCTCTGGATTTGGCTGGAGCATCGGGGTGCTGGCTCATTGCTGCCGACAGTGATGCTGTAGATTGTCCACAGCGAGGTGTGTGGGTGGGCTGCTAAGGGAGCCTGCTTTGGGTACGCTGTTCTCAAATGCCAGGCAGGTGGGAGAAAATCTGGAGCACAATTCTGGATGCCCCTAAGAGTAGCACTCTCCCTGAGTGCAGCCTGCACGTGCTCTCTGCTTGTCCCCTGTGCTCCCCTCAAGGACACGGGCATGTGTGCATCCCCTGCAGGGAGAAGATCGTCAGCATGGAGTTCATGAGGAAGTACATCCACGTGGCAAAAATGATCAAGCCTGTCTTGACCCAGGAATCAGCAGATTACATAGCAGAGGAATACTCACGCCTGCGCAGCCAGAACCAGATGAACTCAGACATTGCCAGGGTGAGCTCCATCTTCTCTCTAATCACACCAGGAGGAAAACCGAGGCACACGCTCCTCTTTAACATTACAGGTGCTTTCCTCCCACAATCAGAGTGGTTGAGGTTGGAAGGGAGCTGTGGATGTGAGCTCCTGGTGTTGCAGCAAAGTGGGGTGAACCAGATGCTGATGTGAATGCTACAGTGGGGGTCCAGCACAGTCTCATGGGCTCCAGTGTCTCACCACCATCTTTCTCCTTTGCAGACCTCCCCAGTCACAGCCCGTACCTTGGAGACATTGATCCGCCTCTCCACGGCCCATGCTAAGGCCAGGATGAACAAGACTATTGATCTGCAGGATGCAGAGGCAGCTTTGGAGCTGGTGCAGTTTGCCTACTTCAAAAAGGTGGGGGAAAGGAGGTGGGGTCCCAAAGGTTTCATTGAAAAGATCAGGCACTATTGAGGCACTCAAGTATCACTGGGAAGCTTTGGCAGTGCAAAATAAGAGGCGTTGTAGGAGGTTGTTGAGCCCCTCAGCTCACAGCAGGTGTGTGTGGATGAAGCTGGGGGGGATGGGTTGTGTGCAGTGGACAGGTTTGCTTTGGGAGCCCAATGGGAGTGGTGCTCTGGGAGGGGGCAGAGAGGTGGGGCACCTGCCTGTCTTGAAATCAGGCCAAGTCCTGCTTGCTGGTCTTCATAGAATCATAGAATGGGCTGGGTTGAAAAGGACTTCAGAGGTCATCTAATTTCAAACCCCTGCTATGTGCAGGGTCATCAACCACCAGACCAGGCTGCCCAGAGCCACATCCAGCCTGAACTTGAATGCAATGTCTTGTGCAGGTGCTGGAAAAGGAGAAGAAGCGCAAAAAGCAGGTGGAGGATGACTCAGAGAAGGAGGAGGAGGAGGAGGAGACGCAGCCTGAGAAGGAGGGCAGGAAGCAAAGGTAGTCATGGCATGCCTTGGGGAGGTACTTGTGTTAAATCCAGTGGGTCTCCTGGACAACACTTGTAATGCTGGAGCCTCTAGGCTCCCAAATTTCAGGTTTTGTGGCCAAGTGGTGGTGGACGAGCTCTGGGCTTACCCACAAGCTGCAGCTGCCCTGCCTTCTGTTGGCCAGATAATTTCAGGAGCCCTGGGGATGTCTCCTGAGGTCTATACATTGGTGGATCAGAGCTGATCTCTTCTTCCCCCACCCAGGAGGAAGAAGGCACGCACAGAAGGCGAGGAGGAATCCTACGATCCCTATGACTTCAGTGACACTGAGCAGGAGATGCCAGAGGGTGAGTCAGGGGTTTCACTGGCATCACCTGAGTTTGGCATCACCCATGCCATCCAAAAAGGCCACCTGCTTTTGTGTGTACTGCCTGGCTCTTTAAGGAAGCAGGCTGAAGCAACTTCTCTTTCTCTTCCAGTCCAGGCACATACTCCCAAGACACCTGAAGCCTCGGCTACTGGGGAAGCAAAGAAGCCAGAGTTGTCTGACCCACGGTGAGTGGGGGCTGGAAAAGCAGCAGGAGGATGTTAGTCCTTCCCTGCTCCACAGTGACCCATATAGCTCAATAGTGATCCAATAAGAACTCCTTACAGACCCCATAGAGCTCCATAGTGACCCTATAACATTTCCTTTATGACCCCATAGCATTTTATAGTGACTCTATAGAGATCCATGATGGTACGTTCATAGTTGAATTATGACCCCTTAAGTGTAACCCATAAAAGTTCCATGGTTACAACAAAATAGCTCCGTTATGACCATAAGAACTCCATATTGAGCCCACAAAAGTTCTATTATGACCCCATAGAGCTACATAGTAATCCTTGAGCTGTTCCACTGTGACACCATCACAGTTCCCTTGTGACCCCATAGAGCTTCTTAGGGCCCCCAGAACAGTTCCATAGACACCCCACGGAGATCCATAGTGACCCCATGGAGCTTCCTAGTGACCCCATAATGGTTCCCTTGTGACCCCATAGAGCTCTGTAGGTTCCACGTAACAGATCTATTACGACCTCAAAAAGCTCCATAGTGACCCCATAGAGCTGCAGCGTGACCCCATAGCAGTTCCATTATGACACATCAGAGCTCCATACTGTTGACCTAGGGCTCCATAGAGACGCCATAGAGTTTCCTGTTGACCCTGGAACAGTTCAGTTATGACGCCATGGAGCCCCAAATCCTGATCCCTGAGCTGTTCCATTGTGACATTATCACAGTTGCCATGTGACCCCATGAAGCTTCTTAGGGACCTGAGGACAGTTCCATAGACACCCCATGGAGTTCCATAGTGACCCTATAGAGCTGCCATAGTGATTCGAAAACAGTTCCATTATGACCCCATGGAGCTCCATAGTAATCCCTGAGCTGTTGCATTGTGACCCCATGACAGTTCCCTTGTGACCCAATGGAGTTTCATAAGGACTTCAGAACAGTTCCATAGACACCCCATGGAGTTCCGTAGTGACCCCATAGAGCTGCCTGGTGACCCCATAATAGTTCCCTTGTGACCCCATGGATCTTCTTAGGGACCTGAGAACAGTTCCATTATGACCCCATGGAGTTCCATAGTAATCCCTGAGTTGTTGCATTTTGACCCCATAACAATTCCCTTGTGACCCCATGGAGCTTCTTAGGGACTTCAAAACAGTTCCATAGACACCCCATGGAGATCCATAGATACACCATAAACTGCCTAGTGAGCCCATAATAGTTCCCTTGTGACCCCATGGAGCTCCTCAGGTTCCACATAACAGATCTATTACGACCTCAAAGAGCTCCATAGTGACCCCATGAAAGTTCCACTATGACCCCATGGAGCTCCATGGTGATCCCATACAAGTTCCCTTGTTACCCCATTACAGTTCCCTTAGGACCGTAAGAGTTCCATAGTGATGCCATAGAGCTGCATAGTGACACAATAGAGCTGCAGAGTGACCCCATCACAGTTCCCTTGTGACCCCATGGAGCTCCGTAGGTTCCACATAATAGATGTATGATGACCCCACAGAGTAGCATAGTGACCCCATAAAGCTCCATAGTGACCCCATAAAAGTTCCATTGTTACCCCTTAACAGCTACTTCATGACCATATAGAGCTCCATAGTGACCCCACGGAGCTCCATGGTGACCCCATTCATGTTCTCACCCCAGAAGAGCTCCATTCTGACCATAAGAGCTCCATAGTGATGCCATCGAGCTCCATGTGGCCCCATACCAGTTCCATCCTGACCCCATGGAACTCTATATTGACCCCGTTGGAGCCCCAATATGACCCCATAGAGCTCCATAGTGACACCATACAGCTGCACAGTGCCCCCAAAACAGTTGCATCGTGACCCCACTGAGCTTCTTAGTCTCCTAATCGTAATTCTTTGGAGACTCCATGGAGGTGCAAAGTGCCCCTATAACAGGAGCATGATGAGCACATAGCAGCTCCATGGTGACCCCGTCGAGCTCCATGGTGACCCCATAACAGTTCCGTTATGACCCCATGGAGCCCCAAATCCTGATCCCTGAGCTGTTCCGTTGTGACCCCATTACAATTCCCTTCTGACCCCATGGAGCTTCTTAGGGCCCTGAGAACAGTTCTATAGCCACCCCATGGAGTTCCGTAGTGACCCCATAGAGCTGCCTGGTGACCCCATGATAGTTCCCTTGTGACCCCATAGAGCTGCCTAGTGACCCGAAAACAGTTCCATACAGCTGCCTATTGACCCCATCACAGTTCCTTCGTGACCCCATAGAGATTCTTAGGTACTTCAAAACAGTTCCATAGACACCCCATGCAGTTCCATAGTGTCCCCATGTAGCTCCGTCGTGACCCCACAGAGGTCCATGGTGACCCCACTAAAGTTTCCTCATGATGGCAAAAGAGCTCTATAGTGACACTATAAAAGTTCCTTTGTAAACCCATTAAGGTTTCATTATGACCCCATAGAAGTTCATTATGACCCCATAGAAGTTCATAGGGACCCCGTAACTGTTCCATTATGACCCCATGGAGCTCGATAGTGATCCCATAGACGTTCCATTGTTACCCCATAACAGTTCTCTTATGACCATAAGAGTTCCATAGTGACCCCATTCAGCTCCTTAGTGACCCTTTTAAAGTTCCACTGTGACCCCATGGAGGTCCATAGTGACCCCATAACAGTCCATAGTGTTCCATTATGATCCCATTACTGCTCCATTGTTACACCCTAATGGCTCCATTGTGACCATGAGAGCTCCATAGTGACCCCATAGAGCTCTAAAGTGGCCTGTCAGAGCTCCTTGGTGACCCCAGAACAGTGCCACCATGACCTTATCAGAGCTGCTTAGTAATCCCTGAACTGTTTCATTGTTACCCCTTGGCAGTTCCACTGTGACCCCATAAAGCTCCATAGGTTCCTTGTGACTGATCTATGATGACCTTTTAAGAGCTCCATAGTGAGCCCATAACAGTTCCTTTATGACCCGATAAAGCTCCGTATAGGGCTGTATTTTGGGCAGCAGGTGTTCACGTCTGCTGGACTGCAGGTGTTGTGCTTGGCGGTGCTGGAGCTGGTTCTGGGCTGGGATGTGGTTAGTTACCAAGGGAGGGGAAGCTGCTGGTGTTGGTCTTTGATGGAGATGACTTCTCACGCAGGTTGAAAGCCTTCAAGGCCGCCTTGCTGGAGGTCTTCAAGTCTTCCCACGCTCAGTCTGTGGGCCTGAAGAGCGTGATGGAGTCCATCAACCGTGACAACCCTGAGCCCTTCTCGCTTGCCGAAGTGAAGTTGGCGTTGGCCCACATGCAAGATGACAACCAGATCATGGTGTCTGATGACATCATCTTCCTAATCTGAGCCTCGAGGAGGAGGAGGAGCCCAAATTTTACCTTCACCTCTCCTGAATGCTTCATCTGGCTGTGCTGAACTTCGGGAAGCACTTTACTGGCTGTGAAGCTCTCTCACTTGCCACCTCTGAACTGGAGTATTTGGGAAGAAGTTTGGTTCTGCACATAGTCAAAAGGAAGAATTAATGTGCAAGTTACTGATCTGCTTGATGTGTTTTTTAGCTGTGACCTGGGTTATGTGCAAGCTCAGGTTGGTTTTACTCAAGGCTAGTTTGTCTTCGTGCAGCAGGACTCCCTGTGGCAGGCTTTTGCCCTTATAAATCTTTCTTTTCTCCCCATCTGGGGGCTTTCCAGGCTGGGAGGAGCCTCTTCCCTCCCAGCTTTTCTTACTGTTTAATTAAAACAAAAACATGGGTTTAAGCATTCAATAGCAGCACTAGTAAGAAGAAATATGGGGGGAGGTGGAAGGAAGGAGGGGATGAGGGAAGTTGGAGATGGAATTCTCCTCCAAACCAACATGCTGCCATGGTCAGGGAGGGTTTTCAAGAAAACTGAAATCACAGGTTAACCCGCAGCCAGAGCTGGTGAAGGTTTGGGATGTTAAAATTCCATTATTTTGTGTTTGTTTTTATTTTGGTGAATTTGAGGTTAAGCTTTGGAGAAGGCCCTGAGCAGCACAGACTCTTTCTATTCTCCTTGCCAGGATATCTGCACCGCTCAAGTGCCCTTATTTGTGTCAGTGACACCATCAGTGTTAACTTGCATAATAAAACCTGTCTGTAGATAACATTTGGTCCCATTGCTCCTGTGACTTAGTGCTGACTTGGACCTAAGCTGTTCCTGCTTAGCATATATATGCCCCATCCATCCCTGGAGGTGTTCAAGGCCAGGTTGGATGGGGCTCTGGGCAGCCTGGGCTGCTGTAAGTGTGGAGCTTGGTGGCCCTGCCTGTGGCAGGGGGTTGGAGTTTGATGATCCTTGAGGTCCCTTCCAACCCAACCATTCTGTGATTCTATGATCACATCTGAGATGTGGCCACCTGGGTCCAATTAAACCACTGCACCAGAGAACCTTGGCTGTGCTTGGGAGGAGCACTGGCTTTTATGTCTTTTCTTGTCCATTTTCACCCCTTGGAAGCACCCAGCCAGCTTTTCTCTCCTGGAAATTTCCCCAGTGCTCTAAGAAACGTCCCTGGTCATTTCTGTTGCTCCTGTTTTGCCTTGCTGTAATACCGGGGTTATTTCCATCTCTTCATCTCCCCCACTTCTTGAGTTTTGGAGGATCTCTGTAGGTCACAGCATTGCATCAGTGAGGTTTTTATAGAGCTGCCTCCCCTTCTTCAGATGCTCAGGCCTCCATTTCCCTGTCCTTACTGCTGCATTGCTGCTAGCAGTGCATCCCCCATTACAAGTCACCAGAGGGAGCTCCAAGGTAGAGAAATCTGCTTCGTTGGACCCTCCCACAGCCTACAGAGGAAACTCAAGTCAAGGTCTTGGCTCTACCCGACATTCAAAATGGGGGAAGGTATTGAGGACTGTCTGTTGGAAACAGGCTTGTTCGTTTTATAATAATAACTAGGGAAACAACAAGGAGATTCCATTTCATAGAATTATCATAGAATGGCCTGGGTTGAGAAGGCCCACAACGCTCCTCCAGCTCCAACCCCCTGCTGTGTGCAGGTCACCAACCAGCAGCCCAGGCTGCCCAGAGCCACATCCAGCCTGGCCTTGAATGCCTGCAGGGATGGGGCATCCACAGCCTCCTTGGGCAACCTGTTCCAGTGCCTCACCACCCTCTGGGGGAAAAACTTCCTCCTCATATCCAACCTAAACCTCCCTTGTCTCAGTTCAAAGTTTATTCGTTTGGTTTAGTTCATTTGTGGCTTTCATTCTTGCTAATTTACAAGAACTCACCAAAAATTACGTTGGTTGCTCAAGTTGGACTCGTTGGCCCTGAGACCTGATGAGCACTGATTCAGGTAGAGGTGTTGCTGTGCTGGGGCTGAGAAAGAGGTGGCAGATGCACTAAGCTCGTTTTCATGACCCTTTGCAGCCCAATTTTCTGCATCACAGAGGAAACAGTGCACAGGGTGCAAAAATCCCCCCTGTTTCTGTAACCCTCTTGTCTCATCACCTCTACTTTGGCAATGTGACGACATTCCAAGACAGCCCATGCTATCTCTGGGGTCTGACTTAGAGAAGACCTACAAGGCATCGATGTGTGTTTGTGGGCAGAGTGACCTACATTATCTAAGAGCCTGAATGTGAGTGAGAGGTTGCAGGGCTTTCCCCAGGGTGGCCCTGATGATGTGCTGATTGGAACTTCTCTATGGGAGAGAAACAGGCTACCAGGCAGATTGTGTCAGCGGGACCATGAGCGGCACCTGAGCTTAGCATAATTCTGCAAAACAGGTAGAAGCATCGCTTTCAGCTTCTACTGGGAAATGGGAACTGTAATATTTAGAGGAGCATCGTGCTTCCAACAAGATTCAAGGTTACAGGTAATAATAATGAGGTCTCAGGGCCAGTGAGTCCAACTTGGGCAACCAGCGCACTTGGCCTCACCCACTGCCTGTTGTCTCCTCTTGAGCTTTGGCCCTAACGCTTTTCCTGCTCTCATCCATCTCCACGATGGATGGGAGTGAGGGCAGGAGACTCAGTGCTGGTCCTGATCCATGTTTTGGGGTTAGTGACCCAATACAGAATGCCTGGATTCCCTAGCATCATGTGTGATGGCAGCAGGGCTGGGCTGTGCCCCAGACACAAACGCAGTGTTGAGTCATAGAATCCTTAGAGTTGGAAGGGACCTCTGAAGTCTATTCAGAAATCTCTTTAGTCCAACTGCCCTGCAATGAACAGGGACACCACAGCTGGATCAGGTTGCCCAGGGCCTGATCCAGCTTCACCTTGAAAGTCTCCATGGATGGGGCATCAACCACATCTCTGTGCAACCTGTGCCAGTGCCCTCACTGTAAAAGACTTTTTCCTTATATCTAAACAGGTCCTGCACCCAAGTAGTGCTCTGATGTCTTATTTATTGTGCCTTAATGTTGTTTCAAGCCCTCAGCCACCTGGCTTTGGACAGGATTACTGCTGCTAGAGATGTAATATTCAGTTTGCCTGTTGGCTGAAGGATGGCTGAGCGCCAAGCAGCAGCAGCACCGAATCCCTGCCTCTCACTCAACCCACAGCCCTGTCCAAAGTGTGAAGCCAAGATGAATGTGGGACATGAAAGTGAGGTTGGCCATCACTTGTAGAATACAAAGGTTCTGCCGGCCCCTGCAAGGCTGATGACACAGCACTGTGGCTGCTGGCGTGTCGGAGCAGGACGTGCTGATGGCCCCATTCTGAGGTTTTTGTTGCCAGCACCTGTGGCACGCTCGGCCAACCACATTTCCTCTCAAAATTTGCTCTTTCCAGTTCACATCTCTGGGCTGTGGTCGGCAGTTTGGTCATTGAATGTCAGCAAACCCAACCAGGGCAAGCATGGGTGTGTAGCATCAGCTTTGAAAGCAGGAGGTAGGTGACTTAATGGTGTGGCATACAGCAAAGGGGAAAACCTGGGGTTGCCAGAAAGGCAGGAGAATGAGCTGGAGGTTCTTGTTCTCCAGCCACCCTGCAGAACTCAGTTCTGACATATTCAGTGCTGAGATCTGCATGGAGATGATACCATTTCAGTCCCAGTGTCTGTCTTGGGCTACAGAAGGTCTTCTGATGTGCTACAGCTGAGCTGGATCATCTGTCCCCAAATGTTGCCTTTGCTCAAAATGAGAATCATTGAGAATTGCCTCTTTGGCCCATCCATCTCAATGGCAGCATTCCCACTTCCAAAGCAGAATGTGTTCACACTATTGAAGACTGAGTTCTGTGCCCAGCGTTTGCTCCTCTAAGTGTAAAGGTTTTTGAGTGCTTCTGCTTTCTGCTCCTTTGTTCTGCATCTCTCTGGCGCCTCGTGTGTGGAATGAGATTTGGGGTTTTAAGCTGAAATATTCAGAGGAGCTTAAAAGGATGTGGCTCCTCTCCTATGAGGAAAGGCTGAGGGAACTGGGCTTGTTTAGCTTGGACAAGAGAAGGCTCCGGGGGGACCTCATGGTGGCCTTGCAGTACTTGAAGGGAGCGTAGAAACAGGAGGGGAAAATGGCTGCTTGTGAGGGTGGATGGTGATGGGACAAGGGGGAATGGTTTTAAACTGAGACAGGGGAGGTTGAGGTTGGATATGAGGAGGAAGTTTTTCCCCCAGAGGGTGGTGAGGCACTGGCACAGGTTGCCCAAGGAGGCTGTGGATGCCCCATCCCTGCAGGCATTCAAGGCCAGGCTGGATGTGGCTCTGGGCAGCCTGGGCTGCTGGTTGGTGACCTGCACACAGCAGGGGGTTGGAACTGGATGAGCATTGTGGGCCTTTGCAACCCAGGCCATTCCATGATTCTGTGGTCCAAATGCGCTCTGAAAACAGCCAAGTTGCATGGCTGAAGTCCCAGCAATGTCATTAAAACCTTCACCAAATGTGTAATTAATCCTACAGTGCATTTTTTTTTTTTTAATCACATATCAAGTGTAGAAAATCTATTGTACATGCAATGAAAAAAAATCTGATTTCCAAGCCTCCATCCCCTATCCCTGCTCTGAGCCCTTGAAACACAGGAACAAATAGGGGTTTTTTTTTGTTGTTGGTAGTTGCTTGTGAGATAATCTTTTCCTCCTTTGTAGTGATCCATGTTAGGTGACCTCTTTTTGATTTCTGTGAACTGCAGCTGAAGGTAACTTTAGTCATAGGAAATTTCTGATCAAGGAAGGAATCCTCCCTGAAGGTGTGAGCTGCTGAAGACAGAAGATATGAGTGGAAAGTGGTGGTGAGGGCTAATAACCCAGCAGTCGGTGTGGTAATGGCGCTGCTTCATCACCTGTGGCAATTTCCACTTACCCTCACACCTGCACGATCCGCTCATGGCGATGCTCTTTTCCTTCCACAGCAAAGCTGACATTGAGGGGGAAAAAAAAGGGGGTTCCTTGCTGGGCTATAGAAATGGGTTTTTTGGTAACTTTACCACCTTTTGGTCTTCCACGCTCCATGTCTCAGTGATGCATTAATGAATATACTGGTAAGAACAGTCAGAATGGGAATGCGTGTCGTGAAATGGATGTTACCTGACGTGAACTTAACCTGAAATACAAACAGCTTCTGGGAGATGAGTTGCTGGTTTCTGAACCGCCCGTAGATCAGACCACAGAATGGTTACAACATCTTGAAGTGACATAACGTGTCGGGCAGTGAAGATTTCTGCCAGTCACACGAACAGAGGTGGCAGAGCAAGGAGTGGGTCAGCTCCTGCTGGCTTGGCAATGCCACCAGTCTGTCAGCAGCTCCTGATTGACCTCCGTGATCCAGAGGACTGAAGACAAATCTGAGCGGTGCATCCTGTGCTTCCATGCTCTTCTTTCAGCTCGGCTGCAGAAGAGGCTTCTCCTGGGCTGTTCCTGCACAGGCCCTGTGATGAGACTATTTGCACGGACTCCTTTGGCAATAAAAATAGCTTTCATTCCAAAATCCCACCGTGCATCTGAGAGCTGAGGGTGCTTCTAGGGAAACAGCACATCCACTGGCTTTTCCCCTCCGCTCTGTGATGCTCTGCTGCTTCATGGGCAGCACAGTCCTTCCTCCTGCTTGTTTTCATGCTTCTGGTCTCTAGTTACAAAACGGGGAGCAATTGGTTTGTGATTAAAAGCTGTTATCCTCTAAGAGCATGGTGGAGCGGTGTCAGGTGGAAGAACTCCAACAGTGCAATGCCAATGGAGCCCCAAA